GTCATTAGGTGGCAGAGAGGAAGAGGCTACGTCTTTGCTAGTGCTCTGAGACCTGTGGGCACTGGAGGATGATGAGTAACCTGACAATTATTTCTTGCTTTTCCTGGTTTTTTTCCTTTACTGCATCACAAAGGTTGGATAGCTGCGGAGGGATGGAGTACAGAAGCTAGCCCTGTCCTTCAGTGTGACAGTCACTCTCATAACGAATGCCTTGTTTATGTGACAGATAAGAGATGTGACTGATTTCTCTGCTGTCACGTTCTAAAAGTGAAACTTCTGTGTTTTACTTAACATACTACGTTAAAAGCTAATTCAGGTTTCTTGCGTATCACGTCTTTTATTGCTATGGAGGAATGGCAAACTCCAGAATTTTGCAAGGACAGAAGCAGCAGCTCTGTACTTGATTTCTGGTTTTGCCTTCACCAATCCTTTATGGCCTACAAGACATCCTTGCTTGCTTGTGCCTTAGGCATAATAAAGAAAGAAAGAAAAAGATTGATTTTGGTAATCAAAGCAAAAAATTAATGCTAAAACCTGAAGTCTTTTTAAAGTCCTTCTAAACTAACTTTCAGTAAGTGCAGCAGCGGGATGCTTTGCCCTGTTTCTCAAGACAGGATCCAGCTTCCTTACAGACCGTGTCCTAGCTGGTAACACAGCAGACAGAAAGCAAAAATACCAGTTGAGCACAATGTGACTTTTTAGTTGGTTTCTGCTGGGTTTACGTGCTAGCATGATGGCAAAGGAACTTGACCTCGGTGGCAGCGAGCTGGGAGGGAGCACAAGCATCAGTGGATCATAATAGCTCTGTGTGTCACTGTCCTTTCATGGGTGATGTGGTGCACAGGAGCCTCTGCTGCGCCAGGGTTATTAAAACAAGTGGCGAGAGAAGCCCTGGCTGCACACAGATAGTATTGTGAAACTCATGGTAAGAGGCTTTGCAGTGACTAATAGCTTGAAAAAAATCTGGCAGTGCTAAATGGTGGAAAATGTCCTCATTAAATCGGCATTATGAGGGCCAAAGGTGCCATTAACCAAGCGGGTCGCTGCTGGCTGCAAACTGAGCCATTTAATTGGGAAAAGGCACTGACTACCAGCAGTGGCTTTAGAAAAGAATGCTAATCAGGTTGTTGGGGATATGGTTATGCAAAGAGGCATGCCTTAAGATGTCACTCTTCTATTTAAAATTCCTGACTTCTTTTGACCCTGAAATATATATTTGATGTTTTTTTCATCAGACTTTGCTCACATCAAGGGTCCTGTAGGGCCAGTGAGTGCCTAATGGGTCTCTCTTTAGGACTTTACCATGTGAGGCATAGGATAGCTATTAAAATTTTCCTCATAGCATGTGCTGCTAGCCATCTTCCCAAGACTGAGCAGCAATCCCAGGCTATGAATATTGCTTTACTGAAAGAATTAACCTGGTTTTCAGCTGTGGAAAAGAAGAAGAATATTGTGTATTAAAGTGGTTTTGAGAGAAATGAAAAATCTTTCTGCACGTTAAGTTAGCCCTTTGTCATTTAGAATTGGTTTATGTCACGGCTTTGAATGCTGGAGTAAGCCCAGCTTTTCTTTCTTAGCACTATTAATAGATTGGCTGCATTGGGGTTGGCAAACTCACCTTTGATATTTATTTTTTTTTTTTTAGGGAGCTTAAGAGTGAAAGAGTAACCAAGAGCAGGCTCCAGCTATCGTGCTGTTAAATTATCCCCTTCCTAGGCTCACCACAGTGCACTCTGCCTAGCCACAAGATATTTTTCAAAACCTCTCTGATCTAGTGGCAAAGAACCTCTCCTAAATTAGTCTAATTTATTAGTGCCATCTGCCTTCTGTCACTGCTTTAGGTCCTGATCCCCACAAGTTTGCAGGCACTGGGCTTCCACCGACTGCAGTGAATACAGGCAGCGGGAGTTCAGGTGTTCCCGTGGTTCCGGACTGAAGTAAATTGCTTTCTGAAGTTTCCCTGGGAACCATGATAACTGAGCCCAGATAATGACTTCCCTAAAATTTGGTTTCATTTTATGAAGCTTTTTTTTTCCCCTCTGGGATGTTAAAAAAATCTTTGGACAGTCCCAAGACAAACCTGACGTAATTCATCAATTAGCTGGAGATGTTGCCTCTGAAATGAAAAGCAGTTCTGTGTCCCGGCTGGCTGCAGTGCTGTAGCTCAGATACGGTACCACAGTGAGCAGCAGGAGTCTGGGGGGTGTGGATTAATCAGCTCCTTAGTATTGACATTTATTGCTAACTTTTGCTGGCTGTATTTATTTGAAGTTGTCTAACATCCTGGGCCTCTTTTTATTTGCAGATCATGCCTTGAGTTTTAGAATTTCTAGCAACCTTGGCTACAGCAAAAGCAATGGTTAGCAGTGTCTGCATTTGAAGATTCTTAAAATTTCATCTTCCCTCATACGTGGGTTCGAGCACGCTACAGCCAGTGACAGTGCACGCGATGCTGCTCGTAGTTCTGAATGTTTGCTGCAACCTGTGTACTCCAATGTCCGTTTAAAAAAAATTTATACCTGTTCTGCTCCAAATACCCTTTCTGCTGTTGCTGTACTCCTGTTGAATATCTGTAAGAGTTGTAATATTGCCCTTCTCCTAGTCACCTCAGCTCATACGCTGTTTTCACACCATATTCTAAAGCACTGTTGTTTCAATCTGTTTTCTCTTCATGGTTAAGAACAATTTTAAAAAACTAAATAAAGATGCCACCTACAATAAGACTGAAGTGATTACGCTTGTGTAATTTGTAGCAACCCAATTAATATTTTTTAACCATTGTAGGTTTTAAGACTTTTATTTGTAGGTATGAGAACTGGGATGGTTTTTTAGTTTAAACAATGAAAGGTGGAAGTCTTGCTGCTTACCTCCATCCCCTTGTGGCACAAATCAGTGTGCTGCTAAAGCAGCAGCAGCGGGTGAGATCAGATTGTCAGTCTCTCAGTGTTCTGGCTCTTCCTCTTTTTTCCAGCTAATGTGGGAAATTTGGAGAAGGCGTTACGAGTGTACGGTAGCTTTGCCTTTAGTAGTTTTTCTCCTATATTGTAGTGTCGCTTGTAAACCATAAGCACGTGTCTGAAAACACTTGTGCTTTTTATTAGGGATGAACAAAACCCAGCGCTCCTGGGGCGAGTTAAGTACAGGGGCTCTTTCTCCTTGAACTCCATCTTTCATCATAAATGCTTAAAGAGATTCCAGTTATGTGGATAAGCAAGGAACATGGTGGTTTTCCTCTTTTCTAGGTGCTTAACCTCCTGCTTTGATACCACTGCTGGGGAAGGGAGTAGGGGGATTGGGTGGAGCGGGAATGCCACTTTTGGGAATAAATTTACTTATAGATTACAAACACAGAGGGGAGGGTGAGAAACTACTTTCCTGACGATCTGAGGAGAGGATTTGGCATGGTTGTTAGGTTCCTTTTTCCCATAGCAGAAAAAAATTAATTTGTCAGTGGAGCTGGTTGCTATGGGAATGCAGGACAATAGGCGAGGAGCTGGGGGGGGCTGCACGGAGCCTCATGACCGAATTCCAGCCCCCACCTTCCCCACCAAACGCTCCCGTGCAGGTGACCCTGCACACACCAGCGCAGTGCCTGGGGTGAGGTCCTGCCGGGCTTTGCATTGTTGGTACCGAATTAAGGGTGACGCCGAGGGGCTGAGGAACTTGCCACCCTTCAAACCCACAAACATTACAAATGCTCAGCCTCGCCGCAGATGAATTACGCTGCGAAGCCAGCTCCTCTGTGGGAAGCGAGCTGCCCTGGCTCCGCACTAGATTTAGAGCTCTGTTGACACTGAAACATTTCCTCCATAAATAATACTGAGAGGTAATGATGATCCTATAGAACTAATAGAAGGAAGTACTGATATCTCTTCTCCAAAGGGCTCATAAATTTGCAGCCCGGACACTGCTGATGGTTTTCGCAGGCTATATATACTGTCAGATGTATTTCTTCCTCAGTGATTGTACTTCAGACATACCCTCCACTGCACTGAGCGATCGTTGGCAGGAGCAGCAGCATACGGTCCATCAGCAGGGATACGATTGTGCTGGGAACGAGCAAGCTCGGGGTGGTTTACATAAACTCTTCCTCTCTACCTGTACTTTTAAAAGGTGGCTCTAAGTGTGCATTGAAAGGAAACAGATGCTAGTTAGAGACCTGGCAGTATTTACACAGCCAAGCAAATGTTTTGAAACCTGCTGAAAACTTGCCTGGAAATTCATTTTAATAAAAGAGAGAAGCACGGGATTATCCTGGTGTTAATCTTTAACCTCTGCAGTGCAAGCTCAGCTTAGTTTTAGAAGATTTAAACCAAGAGGTTGGCTTATCCCTGCGCTGGGTATTGTAGGAAGTAACACACGGAGCACATGGGGTAAGGGGTCAGGATTTTCCTCTTGTAGCCCTTTTCCTTTAAGCCATTCTTGGCTTTAGATGCCTCCAAAGCCGACACAGGAGAGGGACTGGCCTGTGCTGCCAATTCCAGGCAGGAGTGGCCGGGTGGGAACCTCGCACAAGTCATCGCATTGCTGTCTGGGGTCAGGCACTTAAAAAAGGAATGAAAGAACGGCCGGGATTCTCCCCTGTGGAAAAGACAGCTTATCTGCTTCCTAAGCTACAGCTGCATCTGATGGGAGGTGACTCAGACACTTAAGAGACTTCTGAATAGGGAAATCTACCTTTTTCTCCTTTTCGGCTCACAAGCAAGCTGGTACTTGAAAGGCTGCTGTTTGGCTAGCGATGTACTGGTGTGATTCACGTAAAAGCTATTTATTTACATCAGAGATGTTCATCAAAAGAAGATGTGACAAGTACAGCATGAATGATTCATTCTCATCTCTCCGCTCTGCTTTCCTGTTCATCAAGCAGCAGTCAGGTGCGTCCAGCTGGGCTCTGCTTCCTGATCGCTTTCCGTGTCGTCTTCCTCCCCCGAGCCTGTCCAGCCGGGCTCCCGGTGCCCCGGCTCCGCAGCTCTTGCCGACTATCGATGATGCTGCTGGGCGGTGGAAGTCATGATGCTCGGTTTTCCATGAAGGAGAAGGGGCTGCGGCGATGCTGAACTCCCTGCGGAGGGTGGAAATTTCCCTGCCGGGGAGCGGATGGAGAAACAGGCTTTCAACCCTTGGCCGGACTTTACTCCAAGATGCTAAACTCCAGGGCCGTGCTTCCCCCGTTAGGAATATTTGGTGTTGGAAATCTTCTTCCAAAGCAAAGTCTTGAGGTTGTTGAGCACGAGGGAGTGGTGCACTTCCATCTGGCTGGCCAAGCCGCTGAGGGTCATGCAAGTTCGGAGCTGCTTCTGCAGCTCTTCCTTCAGCTCCAGCGGGGCTCCGGACAGCAGGTACTCCTGCAGCAGCCCGCACACCTTCGCCAGGTTGGGCTGCACCACTTCGCTTTTGCACTGCTTCAGGAGTTTGTCGCAGGTGGCCGTGCAGTCCTTCCCGTAGGTGCAGTCCACGTTCTGCTCACAGTGACGGCCCTTGAGGAACCCTCGGATGCTCATCTCCGTCGCCACCTTCCTCAGGTTGACCATTTTGAAGTCGTATTTGTCGTTGTAGCCCACGTTCTTCAAGCTGGTCTCGCAGATGTAGAAGTTCCCGTAGGTCCCGTGGAAGATCTCCTCCACGAACTCCAGGAGGCCGATGGAGGTCTTCGCCCGCCGCGGCCACGCCGGTGCGAACCACTGCTGGACCATCTGGTGGACAACCGAAGGCAGCAGCGACTGGAGGAAGGGGGGGACGTCCACGCCGTAGAGGGAGGTGTGGGGGATCTTCTCGGTGACGTAGAGGTCCCCGCAGTACCCCAGCAGTTTGGGGGTGTGCTCTTTCTCGTGCAAGGAGAGCGTGAGAAGGAATTCGTTGAGCTGAAGTAGCGCCCAGATGGATTTGGCCTCTGCTAAAGACACTTTCCCATCGCGGTTCACATCGGCCATGGCGATGATCCGGCTCACCAGGGCTGCCAGAGACGACTGGTCTCCCAGGCTGGACTGCGAACAGAACAAGAACCACAGAATGGTTAGGGTTGGAAAGGACCTTAAAGATCATCGAGTTCCAACCCCCATCACCGAGTTCCAACCCACTCGGCATCAGAAGCAGCATCAGGCCCCTGCAGCTCTCCCTGTTGAGGCTTCGCATCACAAAACTGAGCTGGGGAAGCAGAGAACTGAGCTTGGGAGAGGAGGAACCAGCCGCTGAGCTCCAGAAAATCCGGTGCCAGGCCATAGCAGATGGTTGGACGGATTCCAGTCCAGCAGAATTTTACCAGGCTCAGGGTGGCTCCAGACCCGGGTGGGAGGAAGATTTTGGGAGCAGAGTCTGGGCAGTGCGGCCACCCCACGCTGGCGGGGAAGGGCTGCAGTGGTGTTACCGAAAACTGGGCAAGAAACTCTCTAAAACCCAGTCTGGAGATCAGAAAGCGGCACTTCTTTATTTCAGCGCTGAGGGACGTGGGGGATAGCTCCACCCAAGCGTCTCCACTTTACATCAGAATCCTTTCACTTTTAGACATTTTTTCTGTATTACGTCAGTTCTTTTACACGGATAGGCATAAAATTCTTGCTTTTAAATTTAACCTTTAAAAGGATTGGTTTTTCTAGTTACATAACCCTATCAATATTCTTACACTAAACCAACCATTGGTCAATTCTACTGATCTCTACTGATTGGAATCCTCGCTATTCAAATCAAGATGGGAAGGGATCTCCAAGCAGCACAACTGGTGTCCGTGATGGTCTCCCTAGTTTCTTAGAACATTGAAAATCTACTAACTGCCTGGTGAGGTTCCTGTAGTTCCCTATTTCAAACTTCACAATCCCTATTCATTATGCTTTAATCAAACTCTAACTCTCCTGTATGATTCGCTTTTGATTATTTTATCAGAATTTCTGCACGGCCAGGGCCACCCATGGGCTCTGCCACCCGCAGCCGTGGTACAGCAGCCTCCAGGGTTGCTGCTATTAAAATCTTACAAATACGAATTCCTGTGCGAGAAGGGAGGTTTGTCTTGGCTAATGCAGTCCTTGCTCTGCGGTACGGAGCCCTGCCTGGCACCCAGCAGCTGACGGCGTTGTGGGCCCGGGAGGTCTCACTTAAGGGGAAGGAAAGATGCGTTGAGTCTGTCTGAGGCCCGAGTGGGATCCCAGTCCTGCAAGAAGTGCTCAAGGCCAGGCTGGATGAGGCTTTGGGCAACCTGGGCTAGTGGGAGGTGTCCCTGCCCAGGGCAGGGGGTGGAACGAGATGATCTCCAAGCTCCCTTCCAACCCAAACCCTTCTGTGATTCTAGGATCCCGCAGGGGTCACTGACCTTTAGGAAGTTCAGGAGCATCTCTTTGAACTCGTCCATCGACGTTCCCCGTGTGGGTTTGTCGAAGAGCACCACGTCCCTCCGGGGCACAGCGTCCGGGTGGCTGTCTGCCCTCAGGGCTTCCTCAATGCCACACTTGATGATCACCTCCCTGTCCCTCCAGAGCCCCCTGTAAACCTGCAGCAAGGAGAGGGGAC